TCTGCCCCGCCTGAGCTCCGAGCCTGGGGGCAGGCGGGGGAGGGGCAGGCGGCGGGTCCCTGATCTGAGCCCGTCTCCCCCCCCGCAGGGCGGTTCCTGCACCAGGTGAAGTCGGACTGTCACTTCACCAACGGCACCGAGCGGGTCCGGCTCCTGGTCAGGTACATCTACAACCAGGAGCCGTTCCTGCATTTCGACAGCGACGTGGGGCTGTTCGTGGCGGACACGGAGCTGGGCCGGGCCACCGCCGAGAGCTGGAACAAGGACAAGGCGTTCCTGGCGGGCGCGCGGGCTGTGGTGGACACGTTCTGCCGGAACAACTACAGGGTGGCTGAGCCTTTCATCATCGACCGGAGAGGTGAGTGCGGGGCCAGGGGAGGTGAGTGCGGGGGGGGGGTCGGACGCTCTGCCCCCCCGCCCCGGGTTATTTCCATGGTCCCGACCTGGGCCAGGGGGCGGGGGCTGATCTGATCCTGCGCTGGGGGGCAGCAGGTAGACAGGGGGTGGGGCCAGGGCAGGGGGTAACGGACATGGGGAGGGGCAAAGAGAGCAGGACAGGGCGGGGTCACACCTCCCCTTCTCTCCCCTGCCACCCTTGGGTCTGGCTACGGCGCCCCCTGTCAGCAGGGCGCAGAGCCCCAGGCCCGGGTCAGTCTCGGGAGGGGGGCAGGGCAGTGACTGACCCTCCCTGTGCCCAGTCCCCCGCTCCTCAGAGGGGTTCAGCCCCCAGCGCCCCCCCACTCAGACCCCCGGGGGCAGGTGGCTGCTATAGCTCCAAAACCCAGTTCCTGGGCTGCGGGAGGGCGGGCGATGGGGCAGAACTTTCCCCACCCCCCAACCGCACCCCTCCCCCCTCAGGGTGCCCCTGGCTGGGGGCTGGGAGCAGCCCCTGGTCTCTGGGCTGAGACCCCGTCTCCCTGGGTCCCAAGCGTCAGACAGTCCCTGGCTCTGTCCCCATGGGGGTGACAGGACATGACCCCCTCAGGCCCTTTCTGCCGGAGCCTGCCCAGCGCAATGGGGGGCAGGAGAGAACCAGCC